GGGATCATGACCTGAGCCGAAGGCAGTCGCTTAACCGACTGAGCCACCCAGGCGCCCGGGATAAATGATAATTTTCTAATGTCTTCACTCAGCAAAATATAAAATAGCAACCCTCTGTCCTTTTCCAGAATTCAAGGTACACACACAGGTCCAGGAAATCCAAAAAGCCTAGAAATTCTTGCTCTCCAGAACCCAAAGGCCAGCTTCTTCTCATTTTGGCAGTTTTGCATTTTTCCTACGGCTATAGCATGTTCAGCTCTTAGGTCGGAGACACAGAGGAATGCACTCCTGGTCTGCAATAACCACCTCACCTGGGGGAGGCGGTGGGCATGGTTGGGCCTTTGGGTTATTTGTTGACACTGACGGTGTACTCCCCACGGGCAGGTACCCAGCTGCTGTTGGAAGCCTGTGCCCAGGCTAATGTGCCGACCTTCATCTATACCAGCACCATAGAGGTGGCTGGGCCCAACTCCTACAGGGAGATCATCCAGAATGGCCACGAAGAAGAGCATCTCGAATCAAGATGGTCTGCTCCATACCCCTACAGCAAAAAGCTCGCAGAGAAGGCAGTGCTGGCTGCTAACGGGTGGGCTCTTAAAAACGGCGGCACCCTGCACACCTGTGCCTTAAGGCCCATGTATATCTATGGGGAAGGAAGCATATTCCTTTATGACTATATATACAAGGCCCTGAGGAACAATGGCATCCTGACACATCATAGCAAGTTCTCTGTAGTCAACCCTGTCTATGTTGGCAATGTGGCCTGGGCTCACATTCTGGCCTTGAGGGCCCTACGGGACCCCAAGAAGGCCCCAAGTGTCCGAGGACAGTTCTATTACATCTCAGATGACACACCTCACCAAAGCTATGATGACCTCAATTACACTTTGAGCAAGGAATGGGGCTTCTCCCTGGATTCCAGAATGAGCCTTCCTATATTTCTGGAGTACTGGCTTGCCTTCCTACTGGAAATAGTGAGCTTCCTGCTCAGTCCAATTTACAAATATCAACCCCCCTTCAACCGCCACACAGTGACATTGTTAAATAGTGTATTTACCTTCTCCTATAAGAAAGCTCAGAGGGATCTGGGGTATAAGCCACTCTTCAGCTGGGAGGAAGCCAAGCAGAAAACCATGGAGTGGATTGGCTCCCTGGTGAAACAGCACAGAGAGACCCTAAAAACGAAGACTCACTGATCTGGGGGTGACAAGGACGTAGATGCAGATGTTGTTGGGAGACAGCTATCAAGCTCTCCCCTCTGGCATCATACGGAAAGAAACAAGGCCACGAGCCCGAGTCCTACTCTCTCCCTTTTACAAGACGGCCGTCTTACTGTTTTCCTCCTACCACTGGAAACCTTCCCAGTCCCTGGTCCAACCAGAAGCTTTCTGTCCTGCCCACGCTCCAGAGGACAGAGAAGGAGATTTGCTGAAGCTCCTAATACAAAAGTCTCTGCTGCTGGCTATGAGCTATTCAGGCCTCTTTCATGTAGAGTTTTGCCTATTATTTCCATTCCCTTTGTTATGTGCAAAGCATTTCTTATCTTTTACAAATTCCTATTCCTACATGCAGCTCAGTGAAAAGAGTAATAAACATTTTAATGCCTAATCTGGAGGACGCTGTGGTTGATGTGAATACATACTTTCCCCCTTCCCCCTCCATTTCTAGGGGGATGGAATGGAGGTGGGCAGAAGTGTCTGGAGGGGGGGAATTAAGTTGGACTAAGCACCTGCTATGTTTCAGGCAAATATCACTTCATTTAACCCTCTTCAGAAACCTCGAGGTTGGGATTGTTACTGCCTTTTATTGATAAGGAAACTTGATCATCAGAGGCCACTCACTAACTGCTAAGTGACCAGGACATTTAGCCCAGAAACACTGATTTGAAAGCCTCTATCTGTCCACTGAATCTTGCAGCCTGAACTGCTTAATTTACGGCTCGATGGGCGTGGGGTGGAGGGGTTTGTCAGCAGTGCAGCAGAGCGCAGACAGGAGTGTGCCCTGCTGCTCCTTGGGGGAGGCTGGCTCCTTTGGGTCACCTCCTTCTTGCCCAGCCCGGTGCAGGAGGCTCCCTAGGACCCAGGAGAACCCCTGAGGGGCAGCTGGGAGGGTCTTCAAGCCCTTGCCCGATGGCCTGGGCAGGGGAAGGAGAAGCAGAGAGGTAACCAGCCTCTATTGCCAATGTCAGTGTCCTTGAAGACCCCTAGGACCCACCGGGGCCACCCTGGCAATTCATAGCCAGTATCTAACCTTTCAAATCACATCATGAAACCACACCAGGGGTTCCCAGGAAAGTAAAGGGAACAGGTGTGAACGCCCCTAAAACTTTGTCTCCTACCCAGCGCAAGAGATAGAGAGGTCTACTACCCCCTCCCCCGCTCCCCCCAGAATCTACTCCTCCCTACTCTTTTCTCCTCTTCCCATCTCTCCCTTGCACTGTCTGCTGGGATGAAGCTCTATCCCTCTACCTCCTTAGCCTCTGTCCTTTCCCTCCACCGTCCCCTTCATCACTGATCTTCTCTGTCGCCCTCAGGAGAGGAAGCCAACCAAGGCAGGTGTGGGGACTTGAATGATGACACAGTCATCAACTGAACACAGGACCAACAGTCAAAGGAAACACTTTCAGGGCCAGCAGAGGCCGCGTGGCCTGAAGCAGGTGAGGAGGTGGCTGTTGGGCTCAGAGAGTGGGAGGTGAGAGCTGCCTGTATCCAGAGCCACAGAAGAGTCACACCCAACATCCAGATGGCTTCTTTCTTACCCAGGGAATGTACCGATTATGAATTCAGTTGAATTTGATTACCCCAAAGGAGATAATTTATGCTTTCATTCTAAGGAGAAAGGGGAAGAATATTCTGGTGGGGATGAAGGTTTCTATCACCTTCAAAACCCCAAGGGCCAGAGGATCGACAGGGGGCATCGGAGCAGAGTGGCCCCGTACCATGGGGGTAGGTGAGAATGAAACACTCTCTCTGACCTCCCCACAGGGCACAGAGCACAAGGGGTAGCCCCTGTCCAGCTCCTGGGTGGTGCACACACCTTTACATGTGTGTGCCAGGAGCCAGGGAAGGGAAGAAGGGGGGTGGAATCTGGGACGAGGGCCCCTCAGCTGAGTTTTTAGCCTAGTGAGATTCCGTATCTCTGAACCCACCAGGGCAGGGAAGGAGCACTGTGAGCAGAGACAGAGGAGAGGGCATGTGACCAGCTGGTGGTCTAGCTGAATATGCATAAAGGCCTTGGAATGTTTGGGCCCAAGACGTTGGCCCTTCTTACTTATACTGGGCACAGAACTGAGGGCTTCCAGCCTTTAGAGCTAATGCACAGCAGCCTCCTTCCCTCCTCCCTCCCTCTTCCCTCTGCTCCCCTCCTCCCTCTCCCCTCCTGTCCCATTCCCTCCCTCCCTCCCCCCCAATCTCCTCCCCTTTCCTTCCTCTTCACCTCCATCTCAGTCTACATCCCCTTCTCCCCCTTTTTCTTTCCTGGCCCCCTCCCCCACCTGGATGCAGCACAGAGTAGGGTGAATGAATGAATGAAAGGGCAGGTAAGTGCTCAGCCACCCGGTTAAGCCCTAAGGATAGATGAGTCCAGGGAACGGAGCTCACCTGATGAGGGGGGTGGGGGGGGAGCCCCACAGAGCAGTGGGGCCTCAGCTAGGCCTTTAAGGGTGGGTGGGGCTTGGGTAGAAGAATGAGGTGTTCCAGACAGGTGAGGAGCCTGAGCAGTGGTGCCAAGGAGAGGGTGAAGGGGAGTGAGGAGGCTGGCCTGCCAGGTGGGAAGGGTTTACCCCAGGGGAGCTTAGATCGCTTAGGGTGTCAGATGGGACAATGAGGCTGGCCTCAGGGCAGAGGGGGATCGGGCAGGTGGGTGAAGGGCAGGGGGAAGGGCCCACAGGAAAGTGGCAGGGGGCCTGAAGGGGTGAGAGGGGGTGAGGTGGACTGGAAAGCCAGACAGACCAGCTGCTATAGAAACCCAGAGACCCTGTCTTTCACCCCACGTATAAAATTCTCAATTACTTTTTTAACATACAAAGAACAATAACAAAAACTGACCTCTCATTAGTAAGTCAAAATACCCAAGAAAAAGCTGAAGTCTGGGACAAGGGCAGGGCCGCTCTGAGATTAGGATGGGCCTCCTCATCCCTGGCATCCCGACAGCTCTAGGCGGTCTGGCTCACCCTGAAATGGATGAAGCTATTGGGGGAGGTCATCGAAGAGATGTGACTGCTGACTGACCCTCAAGCTGGACCAGGGCTCTCAGAGGCTCCTTACCTCCTCCCCTATCCTTGGAATGCGGGCCCTGCTTGCCTTTCCCATTCCCAGAGGCTGCTCCAAGGACACAGCCTTGAGATAATGATGTGGTGTTGAGAACACCTGTCCAGTATCCATGACCAAACCCAGTGAAGGCCTCCATATAAACTTTTAAGATCTGGCAGGTGGGTGCAAGGATCCATTCGTCTTGGGGCCACCCAAGACAAGCCTCATTAAGTAAGATCCCTTTGCTTCTTTTTTTTTTTTTTAAAGATTTTATTTATTTATTTGAGAGAGAGAGAATGAGAGAGACAGAACACATGAGAGGGGATAGGGTCAGAGGACGAAGCAGACTCCCTGCCGAGCAGGGAGCCCGATGTGGGACTCGATCCAGGGACTCCAGGATCATGACCTGAGCCGAAGGCAGTCGCTTAACAACTGAGCCACCCAGGCGCCCAGGTCCCTTTGCTTCTTACAACTGCCACCTACCAACCTGGAGTGGCCTCTTAGGTCTCTCCCTGCCCTCTGATTGTAGGAATCGGCTGCAAATTACACCCTTACACCCAGGAAGCGCCCATGAGGATGGCGAGCCAAGTCTGTATCACAGTTCATGTGAATATTCACACTTTTTCCCTGAAGATATTTCAATGTGAGCAATTACAAAGTGCTGGCCCAGAGCCTCCTGGGGGTGTTATGTAATATATGATATTACCTTATTACCTTATTAAAATCTAAAAGAAATCTGAATTTCAAAACACATCTAGCCCCTAGAGTTTTGGACTAAAGATCATGGACTGCTGGTGGCCAAATTATGTGCCAGGTATTGCTTTATACATTTTAGATAATAATCTTCAAACATCACTCAAAAGCAGGTACTCTTTAATATCCTAATTTGACATCTGAGGAAACTGCAGCACAGAGAGGTAAATAATTTGCTCGAGGTCATCCAGCGAGTTCGTGGTTCAGGCATAGTAATCAAAGGACTTCCAGGGGTCTACATGAAGATGTGAAACTCACATGCCTGTGGGAGCCAGTCCCCCGGATTGTAAGTGAGGCAGGCTAGAGCTGAGAGGCCTTGGGGAATGGTGGGGACTGTGGTGTGCAGTAGACCCCACACTCTCTGCTCCTGGGAGGAGCGGCTACAGCACTCCTACTGATTCAGGCCTGGGATGCACCCCAAGTTCCCAGATCTTTGGACTCGCCGAGGAAAGCAAAACCTTCCCAATCTTTATATGAAATTTCTTGATTTCTAAATGTTGGCACCTAATTCTAAATTTCGAAAACAGTGTGAGGATCAGCTCTGAGAATGTGTGGGCTGGTGCTGCAATCATATTTGTAATATTTTATCTCTTAAAGAGTGGGCGGCCCGCGGTGTTCATTCTTGGCAGTAGGTCCTGAGTCTACGTTACAGCATAATCTGTGCTTTTCTGTATGTTTGATATTGGTTGTCATTTTTTGAATAAATTAATTTTGATTAAAAAAAAAAAAGAGTGAAGGGGCGCCTGGGTGGCTCAGTCGTTAAGCGTCTGCCTTCGGCTCAGGTCATGATCCCAGGGTCCTGGGATCGAGTCCCGCATCGGGCTTCCTGCTCCTTGGGAGCCTGCTTCTCCCTCTGCCTCTCTCTCTCTGTCTCTGTCTCTCATGAATAAATAAATAAAATCTTTAAAAAAAAAAAAAAGTGGGGTATTCATCCTTTCTGATGGCTGAGTAATATTCCATTGTATATATGGACTGAGATTCTTGAAGTATCCTCTTAATCTCTTCCAATCCATCCTACCCACGGGTGCCAAAGTAATCTTCCAGGGACAGCTGAACAGGTTGCCGAGTGCATACTGAATAATCTCCAAGTTCTTTGGCCTGACTGTCAATATTTGTTGCTAGTGGGGACATGGAGACATGCTCTTTGCCCTTAATGAGTATAATTTTCCACAGAAGCTGAGGCATGTAAAGTAGCTAAATGTCAAACAGTCTTTAAGAAGGGGAACGGAATCGTGCTCTGAGGGGAAAGAAGGAAGGAGGCAGAGTATCTCCTAGTGGTGACCCAAGGTGACCCTGGTCTTTTCCCATCATGTCTTTCCAGGTGTGTCTTCCGTTCTCCCCTACACCTATGCTCTCTGGTCTGTCCATACTGCCTGAAAGGGACTCCCTTTTCCCACCTCTGCGACTTGTCAGACTTCCTTGCCTCTGCCTGGGACACGTTCCCCCCCATTTCTGCCTGTTGAAATTCTACTCATCTTTCAGTATTCAACCCAAATGCAAGCGCTTTATTGAGTCCCCTACCCTGATGGGATCCTCTTTCTTTCTTTTTTTTTTTTTTTAAAGATTTTATTTTATTTGTCAGAGAGAGAGAGAGCACAAGCAGGGGGAGCAGCAGAGGGAGAGGGAGAAGCAGGCTCCCCACTGATCCAGGGACCCTGGGATCATGACCTGAGCTGAAAGCAGCCACCCAACTGACTCAGCCACCCAGGCATCCCTGAAATCCTCTTTCTGACGGCCTTCATACATTTTACTGTGTATGTACCTGCCGTGTCTCACATTTTACTGCCCTCACAAGCCTGGGAACAGAGATGGAGCACTGGAAGCCTTAGCTGTGGGTCTGGCCCACAGATGCGTTTCATTAGTTTTCACTCTTTTTTTTTTTTTTTTTAAAGATTTTTTATTTATTTATTCGACAGAGAGAGAGATAGCGAGAGCAGGAACACAAGCAGGGAGAGTGGGAGAGGGAGA